TTATAATAGTGATTTTATAATGTCTAAATATAAATCCATTAACAAAAATTTGTGAAAAGAACTATATTACAGAGTGGAAATGGTAAAGGAGACAATAAATTATCCTCTGCTGCCATTTCGTGGCCATAGTGGGAATCATGACATTCATTTTAATAGTATTTGTTTTTCTACCAGGTGAAATCTTGGCGGAAATCATCCACTTAGCATGGCAAATTTTCCATGAATGATCTCTTTAAATAAAAATGAAGAAAAAAATCAATGTAGATGTTCTTTAAAATAAATGTTACTATATAAAATTGTGCAAAAGTATTAATAATTTTGAGGCAAATTATATATATATTCAAATTACCTAACTAAAAAGTAAGCAATAGTACATTTGTTTGAAAAAAAAAAAAGTGTTCTTCTGTCTGGGGTCTGCCATCAGGAGTTAAAGGGGATGTTATGTGACACACTTTTCTTTTGTTTTCTTTTTTTTACTTTTTTCCCTATGGTATTAAAAAGAGGAAGGGGGTTCAAACCTTTGTCACTTTTTTCACTCCTGATGAGTTTGTATCCTTCCATGCACAAGCTAGTAATGGGCTTTTGGCCATTGACTTGCAGATAGTTTTCTGCACAAGTTAGAGGCTACTAGAATACAGTGGGGTGCCGACACTGAACTTGCATACCCCTCGGCAAATGTGCAGTTGCGCCCCTGATGACAAACCAATATTTCCTATCACAGTGCTCAATAAAGATCTATTCAATTTGTGCATGACATGTTTTTGGACGTCCTGCATTGGAGAAGTCAAGTATCCAGTGTTGCTGGTTTGTGTCTCTTACAGGATGGTGTTCAGTCGAGAGGCTGTGGTCCAGCTGTTGGTGAGCGGCTGTAAGTGCTACAGTAATGATGCTCCTGATGACATGGTTTTGGGAATGTGTCTCAATGCTCTACGAGTTCCTGTCACACACAGTCCCCTCTTCCATCAGGTACACACACACACACACACACACACACACACACACACTTTTTACCTAATCTAAATGAGGATATATCATGGACTTTTATTTTAGATTTAGCTAACTATAATTGCTATAGGCTAAACCTGACCCTAGAACCATTAAAATAAAGCTTTTTTTTAAATACAAAAAAATTTACTTTTTAAAAAATATTTTATTTATATATTAAAGTAATTAGTAGTTTTCCTAACTACTCACTGTTGCATAGCTAAATTGTTATTTTGTTTTTTTTTATTGCTACAATAAAATATATATTAATAATGTTAATAATTAATTTGAATTCAATATTATTATTATTAGTAGTAGTAGTAGAATGTATTTATTTTCAAAGTTACCCAACTTTTTAGAATTTCTTTTTCAGCATTTTTGTCCCCAAAAGTGTAACTATTTAAAAAATATATATTTTTCCTACCCACACACTGTTGACTATTATTATTATTATTAAGTTGGCTTGAAAAAGCCAATTTACTAATCTTCTTCTTCTTCTTCTTCTAGCTATACCACCAAACTCGGGTCAGACCTTTAGACTGGTCTGAAGTTAGTTGCTATATCTTTTCTAACTGATCCGGCTTATGGTTTTTCAAAAACCAGACTATCAAAACCACCAAAAATCCCATAGACTTTCATTGAGGGGGTAAAAACTTTTATTCAATTAGATATATGGTGTATTTAAGCTGAAAAAAACCCCAGCTGAAACCAGCATAAGATGGTTGGCTGCTTTGGCTGGTCTCCCAGGCGGGTTTTAAAGTGTTTTTTTAAGCCACTTTTTGGCTGGTCTTAGCTGGTCAAGCTGGGAGACCAGCTAAAAGACCAAGCAAACTTAAATCAGTTACTTTCATCTTAAACCAACATACCATGTCTGTATATCAAAAAAACCATGTCAAAAAAAAAAGATGATCACATTTTAATAAATTTTAGTACAGATGATACAGGTTTCTGTATATTTTCTGAACTCCATTAATAATTAAAAGTGCTGATCTTTGCAGATGGTAAGAAAGTTATCCAGACAAGTTCATTCTGAGTTATTTCTGGAAAAGAAATAATTGCATATAATATCGCTCTGTGTGTCAGATATATTCCATAAACCACACAAAGAGAGGGGGTGTGTCTCGCGCGCCTCTCTCTCTCTCTCTCTCTCTCTCTCTCTCTCTCTCTCTCTCTCTCTCTCTCTCTCTTGACAAACTTTTATTGCGCTAAACGCACTCTACGATGCGAAACAGACGCTTTGGTACTCTTGAATTGCGCGGGGACCAGATGGTTGAGGTTTTTTTCCCTAGCTCAGTGTTTGGATAAAATGTAATTAGGCGATGTGGGTATGTACGGCTGGCACGACGCCACTATGAGATCGGTTCAGTCTGCTGCTGTTACCGATTTTACATCGGATTTATATTTGATATGGATATTGTTCACTATATCGATAACAACAATCAAAGGTAAGAAATGATCAATTTCAGTAAAGCCAAGCTGGGTTATCTTCGAAAAACTCTTATTTTCTTTATCACTCGCACTCTTTTTGCTACTGTTGAGAGACTGACAAACCCCCCAAATCAGATTGCCAGTGAAATGCTCTCCGACTGCAAATGCAATGAGTTTGCTTCCTTCTTTTAATATCAGGAAGGCGATTAGCACATCCCCAAGTTATGCAGAGGTTAGACATATTCGACCACAATATCAAAAAGAAGATACTATGTCTGCTTTTGAAGAAATTGATAGCAAAATTTTGGAAGAAATAGTACAGCACCTTAAATCGTCAACATGCTATCTTGACACTTTTTTTTTTTTTTTTTATATAATTTTCAAAGTTTTTAAATTCCTTGTTTTATTGTTGTGATTATTGTTTTTATTTTATTTTATGTAAAGCACTTTGAATTACCATTGTGTATGAAATGTGCTATACAAATAAACTTGCCTTGCCTTGTCTTGCCTATTTAGGAATAGATTTTCATGATCAATAAAAAAAATAGGCCTATTGGAAAAAAGAATACTGTAAAATAATAATAATAATTAACCTACTACAATGTAAAACTTTAATTGCTGATTTGATAATATGCATTAACTGTATTAGTCTACTTTTCATATTATTGGATCATAAATGTCTTATTCATTCTTGATCCCTTCAACCAAATTATATATGAAATATGACCTTATCAAATCTAGTCATATGCATGTGACATTTTGAAGTGGTGATAGATGTTACTTGCAGTGATAAGTTCATTGTACTTTTTCAGCCACTTTAATATTTCATTACTGGTGAGTAAAATCAAGTTAAAACTTAAGTTAAATTAATGGAACAAATGATTCTATAATTATGAATAATTTTTACAGTGCCGCTAAGTATTCCTTCATTACTAAAGGAAACATTGTCAATTTTGCTGTACCACAATAAACACCTTGTAACACCTGAGGCGTGTTGGACACTGAAATCCAACATTTAGATCTGCAGTTGAGATTTGAGAGGTTTTATAAAGTCATGCTTTATAAACCTTGGTTTTAAGGGATAGAGAATAGTCTTGAGAGAGATATTGATCATTTTATCAGTAATGTAAAATGAAATGTAGACTATATGTCCATCCACAATCTTAAATATTCTGTATCACTATTTTTTAATATTGCTATAAATTGGGTTGTAAAGGCATGTGTCAAACTATTCTGCATGACAAGAGATTGGTCAGGGGCTTAGGTTCTACTTGATTGCATCAAAAAGCCATTGAATAAGATTATAAATATTAAATTTGATTTGAATTTAATAGATATGATCATGTTTTTAATTAATAAAGTTACGTTTGTAAGAGACTTACAAATAGTCTTTATCAGTCAGTTATATGAAATACAGTATCACATCCCATAGTGTGTTTAGATTTATTGTATAAATACTCTTCTTGGCAATATTGCTGTAAATGAGGCCAGTGTTACCAGTATGGTCTTGAGGAACAGGCAGTTTACCAACTACATTCCAAAAAATAAGGTTCTTTATTGGCATTAATGATTCCAAGAAGAAACTTTAACATTCATGGAATCTTTCACAAAAGTTTTTGTGATGGCACAAAAGGTTCTTTACAGTAAAAAAAAAGGGTAAACCATGGTTCTTCTAAAAATTGTTTACTGAAAGGTTTTTTGGGGAACCCAAAATGTTTCTTCTGTGGCATCGCTGCGAAAACACCCTTTTGGAAACTATTTTTAAGCGTGTGTTCTGGATGACACGAGAAGAAGGGATTTCCTCAAAATGTCAGTGAATAAACTTTCAACCAAACCAAAACCAAATATGTTTGATGATGCTTAAATATTTCTACAATGAGGATTTAAGGAGTCTACACTCTTATTGATTCTTGGGCTCAGTATAGTGAAAGATCCCTAAATATAAGCGCGCAAGCTGTTGTCTTTTTCCTGTGATTGGCTTCTTTCACAGATGGCATTGTATCTCGAACACTCAGTTCTCATTGAAGAAATTCCAAGACACGTACTGGACAGACAGTTACTTCAAGAACAGAGGTCAAAGAAAATTCACCCTCACTAAATTCATTAACTATATAATTCCTTAAAATTAACTTTTGCCTTTAAGAATCATCAAGAATGATGAATCCTACACTGTAAAAAAAATTCCATAAAATTTACAGCAAAAAAACGGCAGCTGTGGTTGCCGGAAAATTACAGTAAAAAAAACGGTAGCAACGTTTTAGGTTTTATGGTTTTAACTTAAATTTACAGTTAAATACCGCAATTTCATTAACTGATATAATGTTAATATACCAACCTATTGAAGTACTGAAATACAACTGTTTTGTACCTTTGTAATACACTGATAACCACCAAATGCAGGTAGTGATGAGAAAGTCACAAGATGAACCAAAGCCCATCACAAGCAGCTTTTAAATAACAACATATATAGAGGGTGCACAGTGTCATTCACACAAATGCTAAACACCATCATGGTAACACACATGAAACTGAAATATTGCAATAAACATTAATTTAACAACATTAGGTGTAACACACAACCCTAATATACAAAGCTGATAAGAACAAACTAAGAAGAAACAGTTATTTCAACAAAAAAACATCAAATTTGAAATGTAACGCAGGGAATTCTGGGAATGGCAATTTACGGTTATTCACTGTAAATTATATGGTCTTTTTCACTTCCAAAAACGGTATACTACCGTAAAATTAATGTCCAATACATGTAATGTCCAATACAGTTTTTCACCGTATATAGTAGGGGAATTTACCGTTAACCATTTAACAGGTTTTTACTGTAGCATTTTTACAGTCTTTTACCGTTAAATTCACGGTAATTTTTTACAGTGTAGATCTATTTATGGTATCTCTCTCCTCACCTCTTTATTTTCTTCTCCCTTACCACGATGAACCTCCGTGCTGTATCACTGTACAAAGTCATTTGCATTACAAATTTGAACTGATTTTTTATTTGCTCATATGAATATTCCAGCCTAATGTTCTTTTCTCTGAAGCATGTGCCACCACATACGGTGGAGTAAGAGTCTTTATTATCCAAAACTCAAAGGAAATGGGTTTATTTTTTGAACAGTTATAATTGCACAGTTGGTCCCTTTTCTCAAGGCATTTGGAAAGCATTTGTTCATAGATTTGTTCATGTTAGCATTGTCTGTTACTAAACAAAGGCTTGTATCACTTCTTAGGGCAACTCATACTGTAATTGTTACAAAGTGCTTATTCATGTTTTTACTAAAGCCTTAAAAGCCTCAGTATCATAATATCATTATAATTCAGTACTGATTTGTAAATGTAAAGGTGGATGTATAATCACATAACACATGATCAATTGGTCTTGGGAGGAAAAAAAAGAAAGACAAGCTTTGCTCTATACTCCTTTTAACTACACTCTTTTATAGCTGCA